GGTGAGCTGACCCAAGAATTCCTGGTCAAGCTCCTCTGTTTGGGTAGGGGGTCTATAGTAGACTCCCACCAATAGGTCCCTTTCCCCTCTTCTGCCTTGAACCCTAACCCAAAGCACTTCAGAGTGCTTCTCCCCTGACTCTTTACTAATTAGTGAGGACGTGTATTCCTCCTTGTTATAGAGTGCCACTCCCCCCCTCTCTTTCCTATCCTGTCCCTCTTGTACAGCCTATAGCCCTCGACATTCACTGCCCAATCATGCTTGGAGTCCCACCAAGTCTCCGTAATCCCCACAATGTCTGGGCTGGTGTCAGCCAGCAGGAGGGCGAGTTCCTCCTGCTTGTTCCCCAAGTGTTTGGGGGTGATGCAAACTTATAATGGCACACATCCCACACATTCAACTAGGAGTGGAGTATTTGGCAAAGCCTTTGGACTGCTATAATTGCCCATTTCTTTCCCTTCCTCTTTCCCCTTTCATAGGAGGTTGGTATCGAGAAAGCAGCCATGGACATGACTGTCTTCCTGAAACTACAAAAGCGAGTGAGGGAGCTTGAACAGGAGAGAAAGAAGTTGCAAGCCCAGCTGGAGAAGAGGGAGAGAGAGAAAGAAAACAAAAGCTCCCAGGTAAAAGGGGCCCTTATATTAAAATTAATTTCACATCTATAATTGGCTTTCTTTGAATGCCTTAGGGCACACAGTATGAGAATGAAGATTTGGGAGTATGGGGATCAAGTTAAGAAAGGGCAAATTCATCCTGGAAATAAAAGAAAAATCTCATTGGCAGTTAAGGACAATCATAGCAGAATGGTGTTGTACAATGAGCTAGTTACAACAAACTCAGCAAAAGCACTTGAATTTTAAAAAATTGCCATATTGATGATGTGTAGTTATGAGAAACTACTGGATGACCCAGAGCAACTTTTCCAACTCTGACTTGCATGCTTCTCTGACAATATTTGATGTTCTGGCCTTTCACCATCCAAGATCCTGAAGGGCACGATAAAGTATACACTCAGAAAGCACTACTGCTATGCCAACCCTTATTGTAGGCTTCTGGGCTTGAAGCTAGGTAGCCATCTCCATGGTGGAATGTAGTATTTATGCAGGCTGCATTCTGCACCTGTGGAGAGTAGAGGTACACGGATACATTGGTCCATATCAGCACCAGTAAAAGGAAAATTGACATTATCAGCAGTCAGCTGTTTTTGGCTGATGTGGCCAATAATGTTGCTGGTAAATGCCACGTGCACACCAGCGTCCGGCTGGTAAGTCGGCCAGCATCCGGCTGGTAAGTCTGTTGGGGGGGGGGGGGGGGG